TTGTGCAGTGTGCACGGATCTATTTCACTTAAAAAGTTGATTTTTAAGCTACTGGTAATAATACATACGTTATTAGAACATCAACTTTACTCAAGATTGCTTTAATGTCATCTTCTAATTTCACAGTTGTCTGGGTATTATTGTACATTTACAACCATACTATATATATATAATGAACTTAATATCAACATAAAACAGCTTGCAAAGAAAATTTTCAAAGATTACATACACAGAAATACAAAAGTTAGTTGGGTTGACATTCACTCTATACGCTAGCGTAAATGATCCAGCTGTCCGTAAATGTGCATACTATTTGAGAGAAGAACACACGAAGTATGAGTTAATACGGGTTATCATTTGAAACTACACTTACAGTCCCTTTAAATTAGGATGAGAAGAAGCAAGAAAAATAATTCCCCTGTTGATGATATTTCAGATAAGATGATTGAATGAATTCTATATCTGGGAGCATCATTGCATATTGAGTTTAGATTAACTATAAAACTCCATATACGTCGAGCAGTGCAGAGTATACCACGGAGTAAATCTGTATCTCCAGGTGTAAAGGGACTGGACGCGTAATTTCAAGTAACCCTCCATGCAAACATGACAGGGTCCGATTTACAGCGGTTCCATATGAATCTTCGTCTGGTCAAGTATGATTTATATTTTATATTTGAAATTAAGCTTACAGTCCCTTTAAACAGAGATTGAATTAGTTTTCTACAGACAAGAGTTTACTGTTTATTTAAATCAAACTAGGCTTGTTTACTACTCCACTACAGACAAGAGTTTACTGTTTAGTTTACACCAAACTAGGCTTGTTTACTGCTGAACTATAAGTATAAACTATTAATATTAATATGATTAACTAAATTCTGAATCATTCAAAGCATTTCTGATAAGCTCTTGTATATATCCTCTGTATTCTCCGTACTCGCTGTATCCTCTATATACCTGTATCATGTATCCTCTGTATTCTCCGTGATCTCTGTATCCTCTATATACCTGTATCATGTATCCCTGTATTCTCCGTGATCTCTGTATCCTCTATATCCCTGTATCATGTATCCCTGTAACAAAAATCGTGGAAACATGATATTCTGTTAACCTGCAGTACTTTGTACATTATTAATGATTTAATGTTGTAAACTTGTTGTAAACTATAAACATGTACAGAGATAGCTTAACTGTATTATATCTATATATAATCTTACAAATACTTAGATTAAACTTTAACTGTGCGATAAATACGTAATATGATTGTCTTAATCATGTGAAAAAGAAAAGTAGGAAATGTAATTTCGCCAACTTGTGACATAAGATATTAAATAAAGCTTAGTTTATAGAGTTACTCCGTACTGTTTACTGCGTGAGAATAAACCTGTATCATGTTCCCTGTATCCCTAAATCCTATATCCCTGTATCCCTGTATCCCTGTATCTCTGTATCCTGTATCCCTGTATCCCTGAATCATGTATCCCTGTATCCCTATATCACTGTATCTTTGTATCCCTGTATCC